AAATCCAAATGCAAAGAGGTTCTCAAACAAGAAGCTAGAGTCAATGTTCGTCACGAACGACCCAAGGCGTACTTCGGGCACATCGAAGGCAAACAATCAGTCTTGGCTTTGGAAAGTCGACAAGTTGGACTTCCTCTCCGCTTTACTGGAAGCGGCCCTTGGCTGCTAGAGTACGAAAACTTGAAGACCAAGGAGGTCAAGAAGGATAGCTTCCAGAACCCCAACTCATGGCTTGACGTCAAGACAGATGGAACATATCAATTGATCTCCGTCAAAGACTCCGTTTGTCCTGGCTTGATCGATGAAAAGGCTGACCAATTCGACGTATCCTGGGTCGCACGTCCCTCGCTCAGTGTTCCTGAGAGTAGCGCGGTACTGGAAGGCAGCAAGTACATTAAGGACGCCGTCTGCGAGGGTGACGAGGATTCGTTCGATGTGTCTTTGACTGGTAAGTTATCCCGAGAATCCCACACATTGCCAATACTAATCACATCGTAGGAAATGCTCCTTTCGACATTTCTTACCGACAAGAATACAAGGACAAGAAGGGAAAGACAGCTTCTGTCAGCGAAAAGGACTTGCACACCGTTGGTGGTCTTGCATCGATTCGATCAGAAACCTCCAAGGCTGGTACTTACGAATACACTTTCCAGAAACTCGCAGACGCCAGGTACGACCACTCGAAGAAGCACTTCTCGCCTATCACGATTCAGCAACAGGTTCATTCGCGTCCTGGTGCTCGCTTTGATAAACCTGGAAAGACATACAGTTACTGTTCACGAGAGTCAGAGGGCGAAGAAGTCATCCCCATCACACTGGAGGGCGTTGCACCATTCTACCTGGAAGTCGAGATCAAACATCAAGGTACCCCTAAGCCGGAAATCAGCGTCCACAAGAACATCCCCACAAACAAGTATGATCTCAAGATTGAGCACCGCAAGATGCACCTCGGTCACTCGTCAATTTCCATCCGTAAGGTTCGCGACTCGCGTGGATGTACCCTCAAGCCTCTGCCAGGTGGTCCCCGTGTGCAAATTAGCGTTCATGATGCGCCTACTGCCACACCCCTGGAAGACCGGCAGGACTTCTGTGTCGGTGAGCGCCTGTCCTTCGCTCTTAGCGGCCAAAGTCCCTTCACAGTATACTACACCTTCGAGAAGCAAGAGCGCAAGGCCTCCAACCCGGGCACCACTTTCCGCCGTCTCGCTGAGCTTCCAGGATCGTTCACTATCACTGGTCTACGCGACTCCGCTTCCGAGTGCCTTGCAGCGCTCGACCTTACCAAGACCATTCATCCAATCCCCTCCGTACGTCTCTCTGGAGGTCAAGTCCACGAGATCGACATTCACGAGGGTGGCGGTACGGATCTAGAGTTCCAGTTCTGGGGTACACCGCCTTTCGAGTTTACCTACACGCGAAGCACCAATGCAAACAAGGGACGAAAGAGCAAAGTGCTGGAGATCAAGACGGAAATCAGTCATGAGATGAGTATGAGCATTCCAGTCCAGGAGGAGGGTACGTATGAGGTCGTATCCATCAAGGACCGGTGGTGTAGTTTCGCAAAGCCTGGTGAGGGCCATGATGGCAAAGGCGGACAGAAGATGTTGACTTACTGAGAGTGAAGAGGAGCGGGGTTAAGATTTTGTTTTGATGTGCATGAATTGGCGTTTAGCGTTTCCTTTCGGACGTTTCTCAGGGTTTGCATGAGACTGTATTTATGGAAGGTTTTTGGCTATGGAAGGGGTTGGTAGCTTGTGAACTAGCGATAAGTATTTACTATCGAAAGCTTGTTACATCCAACTCGTCCTACGCTTCTCAATACCGCACCTGAGGTAGCTCGATGCTGGCACCGAGATAGTATCGATGATAAGTAGCGCATCGCGATCGCGTACCTGCATCTAGCGCTAAAGTGGACCCTTTCGCATCCTAACACTACACTGATGATATCATGAATAAAGTGACATCACAGTCACGACTAGGCTGATGGAAGCGACAAAAAACAAAGAAATAGTCGCGCGTCTTCTAGCATTGAAGCTTCATCCACATAGCTCTTCACTCCAATTTACACAAACTCCAATTTACGTTCACACACAACCACACACCAAGTCACCAACATGCCTCACTCCAAGACACCCGGCCAGAGCAATGCTGCTTCAGACAAGTTCAACAAGCAAGAGGCTGAGAGTACGTTCTTCACTTGTGCTCCTAGACTTCTGCTGGAATGTCGTTCTAACAAGCATGACAGGCAAAGGTCTCGGTGCATCAAACGCACCCGCAGCGAAAGAAGGCCATGCGCCCGGCGAAGCACCCGTAGCTTCAGACAGCGGAAACTCAAATGTTGGCGTCGATCCCAGCGCGAACAAGCCCGGTGAGAAGGGCATCGGTGGACCAAACTACGGTACGCACTAGATGTGCATCTCTGTCTATCGGGGAATGTTGTATGAATAGGAAAGAAAGGAAAGACCAGCGAAAGCTCCGTCGCCATTGTGAAATTACGAATATCATTGTATAAATTACGGGTATATATTTTTTTGCAAGTAACGCCAAAAGAACTTTATGCGACCGCGTATATGGCCAATGTTTTTCCGTCGTAGGTGTTACGCTGCCTTTGGTTTCGGGATACGGAAGGGATGGGCTTCGGTGTTGAAGACCCAGTCGTCCAGGCTGATGACGTTGGGCTCGCTAAACGTCAGGTAAAAGTACTTTAGCGTTTCCGCCATCCAAAAGCTCTGTTGACGTGTTAGCACACGTTCAATGCCTTCTTTTGACAAGGAATTAGGGTATGGCTTACCTCCATGCTGTCCGCCCTCGGTGGAGAGTCGGCGGATACGTCTACCAATGCGGAGTTACCGATGTCTGTGTCCGTGGAGCGCTGAATAGCCGTCCACATATCCCATGCAGCAGCTTGCCATTGTTGCTCCCCTGTAATGCGGTGCATGATGAACACACTCTCAATAGCCTCCGGCCTGAGAATGTACCTTCTATCATCGACACTGATGAAGCCGCTGGGGAGGCGGAGGTTCGCAATGTTCTTCAACGGATCCTTTTCGTCCGCAGCATTAGATGTCCGGGACAGTATACCATCGAGCCATGCTTTCTCGTCCCATACACAGGTTGTCGTGTTGTCGCATTTGAGAAGATGCGATACTTCGGGCATAATACCTGCAGGCGATGCCTTGTATGCCCAAACACAAGTGTCTGCCAACTTCCGGCCGATCGTAACATGTTCGTCATTCTGGAATAGCTTTCCGCCGAGGGCGAACATGCCACCTGTGTAGCATGCCAGATGTTGCATCTCCGGGTCTAACAACGTATTCGCACCTTCGGCACGGACGAATCCTGACATGAGCATGTCGGAGTTCTCTGGGGTTGATGGCCGGAACAAGGCATGCTTGGACGCAGTGTCCATTGCTCTCTCGTACATCTTGCGATAGATAGCGTCTTGACCGCCGAGCAGCGCATATTGCTTGCCAATGTACTCGTACGTCGAATCTGCCATACTTCCCAGGGTGAACCCACTGTCGCCGGTAAAGTCTGCAGTTCGAGCGTTAACAATCAGAGGCCACATACCCGGTAGCTTGGTCTTGTCCTGCTGTTCTTCGAGAAGTCTGGTCACTCTGTTGACAGCGTCGTACCATTTCGGATCCCCAGTCAATTGCGAGAGACGCGTGAACTCCATAGTCAGACTTCCGATCTCCGCGAGGAGAACCTGTTCGTCCGCTACCTGTGGTTTGCCCTCGCCCGCTGCGCGGAATTGCCATCGTGTGATTGGTAGGTGGTTTGGTGTGTCAAATGCATGGTATAGCATCTCGCCCGCCTCCTTCGCCTTGTTCAATAGCCTCTGATCCCCGCTAAGCTCGAAAGCCGCCAGAAGACCACCCAAATGCCGTATGTTCGTCTCAAACACATTGATATGGTCCAAATCGGTGTATCCAAAGTCAATCTGTTCGATGTCCTTGATGGCGGACGAGAACTCCTCTTCAAAGCCCATTATGTATAATGTATCGAGCGCGTCGATGAGGGTGGCTGCCCATCCTCCAAAGTGATCGGCTGCCTCTCCGCTTATGGGTCGGACCTCGTCGTGCATCCATGCGAGGCTTCTGTAACTCTTCCAGCATTTCAAAAATTGTTTCTTGACCTCTTCCTTCCTCGTCTCGCGGATGTTCTTGGCCGTAGCATCTTCTTGTCCAAAGTTGAATTGTATTGGTGGTAAAGCTTTCGGTTCGCCGGTCGGTAGTGGAACGAGGGATTCGATGCGGTTCTTGAAGGGGACCTTTGTCCAATCGAAAGACTTGTACTTTTGCTCTTTCTGTGGTTGCTGGCTTTGCTGGCTCTCCGGGCCTTTGTCGGCGTTTACAGGTGCGTCGCCAGGCTGCTCGTATGGAAAGCTGAGGGACCAAAGCATGTACATGAAGCCCACGGCGAGGACGGTGTATAGTCCATAGCGTCGCAAAAGCGCCATGGTGTATTACAAGAATTAAGTAAAAAGGGGCATAAAGAAGGGAAGAGGATGGACGCGCAAGACGATGTCTGCGCCTTACGAACTGTGGAGAGGCTGATGACGGCGGTTCCTGCCAAGTCGGGAAGCGGCATCCTTGTCGTACACTGGACCCTGTACCTGATTACGCGCCGCTCTCCACGCCCGAACCCCCCATCATTGTATCATCAAGACAAGTCCGACGGAGAATAGAATCGCGATCCGAAGATGATGAGTCCGTCGCACGATAGCTTGGCCCTAAGAAACTTTAGTACGGTTGTCTGTATTTACCTACTGGGCAGGCACCCTTGCTTAAATACAAAACTTATCAAGGGGAACTCACACCACAACGTCAATATGTCTCAGATACATTCTGTCCAAGGCTATTGATAATGTTTTCGGGAGGGCTATTACTCGTCTGATGTCTGAAGCATATTCGAGTTACAATGGCACTGGTAGCTTCATCATAACTGCGTAGCCACAGGTCCTTGTGAGACACAACATCATCCCCAGAGAGTAGTATTCACGTATGATTTGACATTTTTTTTCCTCTCTATTGTGTATATCTGGACCCAGCTGCTGTGTCAGCGAGAGATTTCCATGTGACATCCGCATTTATTATTGCAACTACGCAATGGTAGTGTGTGTCTTCTACTATGTTCATTCCTTCCTACTTAGACTCCGCTGGTGGCAGCATGACCACGTACTCCCTCTCACTGCCTCCAAATTTGAGTATGTCCTTGTCCCTAAGCTCAAAGTAGCGACTCGCCTCGAGATCCTCTCCATTCAGCTCCGTGCCATTACTGCTTTCCAGGTCAATGATGTAGGGCTTGACCTTTCCTCTGTGGCTCTTGACGCCGAACTCATCTTCTACCGTCTTTTGTATGTACCGGAATTGGATGACGGCGTGCTGTCCACTTGAGCTAGGGTGCTCGAGTACGTAATCGACGACTTCCAGTGATCGTCCAAGTAGCCAGCAGCTCTTGTTCCAAAGTTCGATGGTGTCTACCACATCATCGCCCTTGAACACGAAGATGCGCCAGGGTTGTGAAGCGGGCGGTTTGCGTGCCTCGGGCGGCTCGTGGTACTTGAGGGAGATCTTGGTGCCTTCTACGCGGTTGGCAGCTTTGGCTAGCGCGCCGGTAGGCTTGAAGTTGGGTTTCTCCTTGTCAGGCGGTGCGCCGCCATACTTGGAGGGTGGTTGGGCCGAGTCGTCAAGCCCCCGGAAGGAGACTTCTTGTGAAGGTAGCGGTTGTTTAGCCCGCTTGTGGGGAGGCGGTGAGCGCGAGGGCGATGGAGAGTGTGTGCGCCGGTGCCGCTTGGGCGGAGGAGACGTGGGTGCAGAGGGCGAGCGAGTGCGCGGTTTGCGAGAACGGTACGGTATGGGCGAGCGTGAACGCCTGCCCTCTTTGGACTTGTCGCGGCGTCGTCGCTCTCTGGAGCGCGAGCGATCTCGCCGGCTGTGTCTGTCTGTGGAATGATCGCGCTTTCTGTTCCTGTCTCCGTCCTTGTCGCGCGAGCGATCGCGCTTTCTGTCCCTCGAGCGATCTCTCTTTCTGTCGCCTGATCTTTCTCGCCTCTTGTCGCGTGACCGGTCTCGTCGCCTGTCTCTGGATCGATCCTTCCTCCGCTCTCTCGAACCATCGCGCTTCGTCTCTCTGGAGGAGCCTTGCGGTTTCCTGTATGGTTCCGGCGACCGTTCCCGCCCGCGGACAGCGCTTGGCTCGACTGTCGTGTCCTTTGGCTCACGGGCGTTCGGTACGTTCTCGGGCTTCCTCTCTCTCGATCTACTTCTCGAGCGGTGACCAGACGCTATCGAAGCCTCCTTCCCAACGCGTTCGGATCCATGTCTCGACAACCTGCTCGGGCTTCCGTTCCTGCTTGCGACTATCGGGGGCGAGGCAGTCTGGCCTTGGACTAGCTGTTGCGTAAGCAGCCGTCGCGCGCTATAGGGCGACAGGTCTCTCGCCATATCGGGCCCGATTGCTGAGCACCGGGGCGCAGTCGCAGTGTCGAGATTGGGGGCGCAATGACGATCCCAACTTTTTCTTTAGTGGGTACAGCCAACGTCAACGGACTTCCTGGGGGCGGCGCCAAGTCGCCTGCACTGCGGTGGTAGCCGGCTAGACCATTACACCGTAATTAGTAGTGGGCTGCGCAAGGAAACAGAAACGAATGTGACTAGTACGCAATAGCCGGTTTGCGATTGAAGCTGTCGGTCGCGACTTCCCCAGACAAGAGGGAGGCCCAAGCTTCCTGCAACTTCGTCACGGCGTCGCGCTACCGCGCCTCATCTTCATCTCGTCTATTCGCTGCATGTCCACGACGGCGCCACTATCCACTCCAAGGCGCCTATGTATACGATATGCAAGGAGCTTGTGTTTCTCTCCCACCCAGTCGGCCCATTTGGCCCCTGCAGCAGCGTCTTCAGCCGGATCCAGACAGGTACGGCGTGGTTTGCAGCCCCGAAACATGACAGCGGGCGTTATGAAGGCGGCCAAGATGAGCGCCTTGCAAACGTAGCCAAACCATCGTCCCAGTACCCGCAAACTCTCTGGCGATTGCCTTTTTGCCTATCTCTCTCTCTTCGCACCATATCGCAGCCCGAGCGCCTGTAGTTTCCATCTTATCTTCATGCCTCCGCTGTATTGCTGCCACTGAGTGCGGCGTGCGCAACGATAGCGCAATGCCGTCCAAGCGAATCCTTTCCTGGTCAAAACGCCAGTCTAGTTCAGAGCCCTACTATCGCACTGGGGGGTTGCTATCGATTGAGCCCGAGTCTAACACCGACTTCGAAGCAAAGGTACGATCACAGGCACAGAACCATGCCAGTGCGTTGGCAAAGACGACGGCGTCTTATGCACAACGAGACGACCCGTAAACCAATGTCAGCGGCCGTCTGGAAGTCGGTGTCTGCAGTTGTCTTGTGGTGCCTCACCATTCGCTAATCATCTCTTCCAGACTACGCTGAAAGTTGAAAAACGACGTTCAGCCAACCTTGTCATCTTTCCGTCGGACGACAAACAATATGTATCCAGTCCTATCACACCCCAGAGCGATGCAGCCGTGTTTGGGGCTGTCACGACCCTCCAGACTACGTCTAGCGACATGTTGCGCTCTCCGGTGCCCAGCACGATTGCATGTTCGAAATCTGCTTCCGTAGAAAAGCCTCTTCCCCGTCGCCCACGTTCCGTCTCGGTACCGTCGATTGCAGAACTACCCGCTGAGCTCCCTGGTTCTCTTCTCTTAGAGAATCAAGGGTTTCCATCCTGTACAACTCCAGTGTCCGTCCAACCCACAATCCAGCTCTTTCGACGGGAGAGCCACCCGCCTGACAAGCGTTTGAACCACGGAATTACATCGTTGAATGCATTGGATTTGGTCCCGTCACAATTGAATCATACGAGAAGCGTTCCAGAACTTAGCTCGCGGTATAGCATCATGAGAAATATTCCCACCGGCGATGCAATCGATTCCCTCGCTATGGCCCAAGTCGGCCCATCAGCTGTATCGAATAACAAGTCTTTGAACAAAACCGGGATGCGAAGACGTTCGAGACCGGACCTGATTACTTCGCTCTCTACCATGGACGGAAAGGTTTCGACAAACAGAAGCGGCAGGCATGATTCTAGTCAGATGCGGCAGGTCCAAGAGAAGAAAGTACGTGATCAGGGTTCTGAAAAGCGCCAACGCAGCAGTCAAAATGAAGTGAGTGCTATTTGTTTCTTGATAGAAGCGTGTTTACTGGACAAACAAGAAGACTGCATAACGAAACAGTTTCAGAACTTCTCTGTGTGCCATCTCCAACTCTGATGCGACGATATGTGCCTGAGTTAGATGCACTGCTCTGCCGTTAGGCCATGGCATCTGGCTGATCGCTGGCGATGTCTCGTTGTATTGACGGATCGAAGGCCTGGCAGGTCGGTAGTGGTGGTGTTATGTTTCACATTCTCACGTTGCGCGGGCGGCACTTGCACAAACTGTCACCACTAGTCTCATTGCCATGCCTCTTTTCTGCCTTGCAGTGGCCAATTCGGGCCGTTCCAGGTGCCCAGCATGTATTCCATCCAAATGCTGACTATACCCAGGCGTCTACTGCAACCAGTTCATCGACGCGCAGCAAGCAGATCGACGAGCTAAAAGTGATCATTACCACACAGAATCAGACAAACGCAATCCTCCAATCTCAGTTCGCCGCCTTGAAATCGTCGCACGAAGCACAAGTTGCAAGCCTTGTAGACGCACACTCTGCGGAGGTTGCATCTTTGAAAGATTACATACGGTTGCTTCAAGAGCAGGATAGTAAGCGCAGCCTGCACTACGGTAAGCAGCCTTCCAAGAATTCTTGTCCAGTCCACCATACTTCCCCGCTTTGTGAAGACGCTCCCTTCCAACGTGTTGGATCAACCAGTATGGCTTCTCGAGCTGTGCAACCGTGACACCACCTATCAGTTCAGTATGCTAAACGTTTCTAGTGTCGAGGAGTGATATCTCCTTTGTCTCGGATAGCGCTGAGCCACCACACACGTCGATTCGCGAAACCTCGCCGATTACTGAGGACCCTGAATCTGTCAGTCCGATCGAATTTGAAAACAAACAGCGTTCACATCGACGCTCAGAAAGCAGCCCAGAGATGGTAAAGACCACTTGCTCTGCATTGGAGACCGATTACTGATTTGGACTATCAGGAGAGCTTGAAGCGGAAGCTCAGCGCTACACGTCGACCAGAAACGACAACTCGGAACCTGCTCCCAGAGCTCAACCAGTACAGACAAAACAATGTTGCTCTCCAACAGCAGATCGAGTCGTTGATGGCGAAGTTGAACGAATCGAAGAAAGGCGAGAGGGAGCTTCGTTCGACGCTAGGGCTAACCGAGATGAGATGTGCTGAGTTCGAGGACAAGGCGGCGCACGCTGACAAGCTTGCCAAATCTACACAGGCCCTGCAGAACACAATTGATCATCTTGAGAGCCGTCTCGAGATCGCCAACACTGAGCGACTCGACGCGGAAGAGCAACTTTCGAATTTGATGGACGGGAAATCACCCTTCGACCTCAACCCAAAAGGACCACCTAGCACGAGTCATCCAGCCTCCGATGGACGTATGAGCATGAGTACGGTCTTCTCGAGCGCTTCGCCTATCAGCTCAGAGCTTGACTCTCAAGAGAACGAAACGCTAGCTTCTTTTGTCGCGCACATTGAGCGTCTGCAAGACCAAGTCAGGGAGAAAGATGGTCGCATTGCGAAATTGGAGAAAGAGCGAGAACAGCTACGACGGGCGAACAGCAAGCTAGAACAGGAGCACAAGACGACTGCCGTTCGTCCAGACATAGACCACCCAGACACGCACATGGAAAGACTTCGAGCCGCAATCCTGAATCGCGAATCCGTAATTGAGGAGAAGGACAAGGTCATTTGTACAGTGCAAAGGCAGCTGGAGCACCACAAACTCTTGCTGCAAGCGGAAATTAGACGGCATGCGGCAATGAAGCTTCACATGGGCTGGGAGGGTGAAGACAGCTGGCCGGAGCTAGCCTCCATCGCCAGACGGGAAGACATCGATAGGTGGATGGACAGGCTCCATGAGCACTTGAGGAGGGAGCAATCTAAACAGAAGGGAAAGGCTCTTGTCGATACCCCTGATGTGCAGATGGAAAGCTTGCGACAGGAGATCGACTTCTACGTTAGGGAAATTATTCTCTTCAAGCTCGACATCAAAGGTTACAAAAGTGACATTCGAAAGCTGAAGAAGATCACTGCGCCAATGGAAGCTTACGGCCGGACGAGCGATCTGGAATCCGAAGCGTGTTCTCTCAGGCCAACAGCTACACCTGTCCACTCAAGTTTATCGCCGACAACACCAGAGCTCGATGGCGCCAATGTTGTCTCGCCTGTTATGGACGAAGGTCATATTGTGACTGCCCTGGGAGTATCCCCGGTTGCTGTCTACCCATTGGCTGCCTCGCGCGATCGGGACCGCGTCGTTATGGCACCGAGAAACTCACGCGAGCTTGACATACCAGCGACATTATATGAGATGGCGCATAAGAATGACTACGCAACCGAAGCTGACCTCATGGGTTCTGGGGCCTCTTCACACTTGGTCGTACCGCGGACAGCTACGGTATGTGCGCGCTGACGGTGTGAGAGCCCAGCGTCTAACTTATTCAGTGCAGCGAACTTATCAGAAGCTTCCCATTGCCCAACTCGGCTGTACCACATCAACGCATTGTACACAAACGTAGTATGAGTGAGCCATTGCTTGGGGCGTATCAGACCTCCCACAGAGACCATGGACTGATCGCGGAACGAGTGGAAGGAAGACGTTCAGCATCCAGCGCGCATATCACGCAAACATCATCAGCAAATGGACGCGCCGTGGAAACTTCGCCAGCTCCTTTCTCGCCTGACACAAACAATGATGCTACGCGGCCTTCGCATCAATCTGAACGTAGGCACAGTACTACTTCTTCACCAAACATGCCTTTCAGCATATCTGTGGGTCCGCCACGCAAATCAGCTCTCACAACCCCGTTCGCCGCCACAATGCCAATGAGCTGTTCGATTACCCGCAATGCGCCGTTCAGCACGGCATGGCCAATATCTCGAACAGGTATCGGCGGGACTATGGCATCGACACCCATGACCTCACCAGTTCTAGACATCGCTTCAACGTGCTTGACCCCAGCTCGCACGTATAGCCTCGCAGCTACGAGGCAGCAAGACCAGGCCACAAGTTCGCCCAGAACGCCCTCACACTCGCGCAACGTGAGCGGAAGTAGTGTCCGTACCGTGATCCGTACCTAAAAATCTAGCGATGAGTAAGAGTAGAGAGCTAGGTATGCGCAACGTCCGGAGGGTGGAAGGCATTAGTATATCCAGAGCTAGTACATGGATATTTGGTACGGGTGGTTAAGTATGGTCTTGTTGTTGCCCCTCAGTCTAGAGTTCATGGAGTCATCAGCTTCAAACTAGGTACTGCTGAACAATCATGATAATTACGTTAAGAACGTGCATCTTGTTGCCCGTCACGTATTGTATCGTGTATTTCTTATTTTCGGCGTGATGGCTGCTTTACTCATCGCGCTGAGTAGGGCCACATCGAATGAGGAAATGATCCGCATAATTCCCACGTCGTACCTAAACACGCTTGCGCCGTACATCTGCACATCTGCATTCTCAAGTTGATTCCATTCATGTCTTATTGTTCCTACTGACGTCGCACGTCCAATGACGCTTTGGAGATGGAGGTGCTGTCCTGCGCCATATGAGCAACGTAGAGTGTTGTAGTTATTGTGCCGAGCACTCATGATGGACTATACGTCTCTACTCAAGATCGTTTAACTAATGTAGACCAGATGACACTCATAATTCATTCACGGCTACATAACTCGCCAATGCTACCACAGGCCGTTGCCACAGTTTTTCTCTTCAATCAGAGTTTAGCGATCGACCAGACACATCCATGAATGAGAGGTGACATTTGCCGGCCGTGGAAGGTAGCGTAATCTACGTAGCAAAGCGTAGATCCTATGCTCTTGCCTGAGGGCCAACTTGAGGTCGCTTTCCTCGACTACCACAGTGTGCATGTATCGGCCGTCACGTTCCCGACTCCCTCGGGAACTATTCAGTGAGGGTCAACAGCTACCAGAAAGATTGAGCACATATACTCACCGTTCCTATCTCTTGGATATCTTCTCGTCACTGTCGCACCGTGCGTCACACTTGTTTCCTCATCCCGGGGTCTGCTCAATAAGACTTTGGTACCGGACGACTGCGCCAACTCCCATGTTCACTTTCACTTTGACCACAACGCTCAATCTGGGACATCTTGGCCCAGCTAGCGTGACGTAAAATCATTCGTGCATACGCTCGCTAGGCTGCTCTGTCCTTTGTTCTCTTCTTCATTCCTACTCCGCTGTCGCGATAGGATCCAGTAGCGCGTGTCAGCACACCCGCTTCCCACTGCGACCAAACAGCTCAGAGTTTTGCGACATGGCTCATGTCAAAGCAGCACCAGAGAAGGCGTATGAAGAGCCCCGTATCGACTCAGGCGCAGCACTCTCAGATCCTGCCGCACTTTCCGGTGGACCTGGACGGACTGGGTAAGCATATATTCACAAGATACCTGACAGACCACACTAAGAACATCAATAGCAATCTCGTAATGCCCATCCTCCAAAAGACGAACTGGGACCACGGTACCCCCAAGGCTCGCTTCCGTAAAAATGATCTACGACTGCGCCAGCCGAAGGGCTTTCCCATCATACTACTCAAGGTCACACTCGAACGCGCTCGCAAAGAGTCAGCAATCGAGGCTTCAGCTAAGAATCGTGTCGACTTACACTTTGAGGTATACGAGGAGTTGGAGAAGGTTGGCGAGGTTGAGGATGGAATCGAGGTTGGAGAAGAAGACGATGAGGAGGAGGCAGAAGATACTGCAGATGAAGAAGTAGAGGGTTCCATGTACGACAGTGCGGACGACAACGCAAATGCCAGCGATGATGCCGAAAAGCTTCCAACTACCAGACTCGTCACCGAGAAGCCTGCTGCGCTTGTCGACAGTCGCGGGCGAACTCGAGCAGCTACAAATCGGCGCAAGGCTCAGGAAGCATCTGAACCCAGCATGCAGACAAGTGTTTGAAACAAAGACGGGGAGAATGCGACAGTGGGCGACAAGGAGCGCATGCGAAGTAATATACAAGCTATCAAGAACTCAATTTGGGGGTCGAAACGTCTTGGGCAGTTTGTCATGTCTGTTGCGCAGACTGTGTTCGCGGCAGAACACGCACGTAAGCGATGTGGCTTGGATGTATCGCGGCATGTAAGCACTGGCGGACATCTTGGATGGCCTTCGCATCTTAGTAACCCATGATGTTACAGCAGGAGCAATTACCACATCAATGTGTCTCTGGTATTGTGCGGTCTGTCAAAGAATTGACTGGAATTCAGTAAAGAGTGTGCTTTGCAAACGCCCTCCTTGGCGCGAATAGGCCGTACCTAGGTAATCCGGCATCAAACGCTAACCGAATGCGGATCTCAAGGTTCGCAACCACGTGTGAGCGCGTATTCGAAACCCTGGGAGAGTTCCGCTGCAGCCCCTCGTTCACCCACACAGCTCCCTCCCTCAACTACTTGGCGCGTTCTTCGCGGCCCTTCCCGCTGTTGTCTCTTACTCATTGTTGAGCCCAACCCCCACCATCTCACCAGCTACACTTCAAGAGCATCGCAACACCAGCGGACGGGAGCTGTATCAACGCGCTATCTTCTGCTGCTACCAGTATGACTGCCAGTACCCAGAAGTACCTTCTAGAAGCATGGGCCAAGGAAATTGATCATGTCATCGATGACAACAACTCCCCCAAGGCCGAGTTCGCGCGCTTGGCGAAGGCAAAGGGATGGACCGGCGGTGATGTGGATTGGTGTCATCACTGGAAAGCGTGTTTCAACGAGACATACGCATGGGGTATCCGTAGTAAGTTCAGCTCGCTCCGCTTGATGCTTCCAAGGTTTCTTGATGATGTGAGGAAGTTGGAAAGTTAGTGACAAGCAAACCATTACTAATGTATGGCATCAGATAAGTCAACAACAACCCATAGGGCTGTAGTTAAGCACATCACTGCTCAAGCTGGTGCGCTCGATCTCACAGACCGTATGCGAAGTCTCTCCATTGGTTCGGATGCGTCGTCTTTCTCGGTCATCTCACGTACCTCATGGGCAGATTCTTTCGAAAGTGTGAGGTCAATCAACAGCGACCAGCTACACGAAGCCGAGAATAGCACCGACTTACAAACCAGCGTACTGTCTCTAGATACGGTCAAGTCCCTGGAGGAGATTTCTGGAGGCGTTGAGATCCCGGACACGGCTACAGAGCACAGTGATGCTGAGTCAGAGGCTTCATCGCTAGAGTTGGACGAAAACCCAGCGTGGGGTGAATACACCAACTTCGTGCACCGCCCGAGTGCCTCCTTCAAGTTAGAGTTCGAACGCCTAGCTCGCACCAAAGGCTGGGTGGGACGTATCAAACGTCAGCACCTAGTCGAGCTGCTCACTAGCGAGGTTGAGTTCTACTGGGGTGCGGACGACGTTGACAAGCTTGAATATTACCAGTTCCTATGTCAAAAAATGGACATCAAGCAGATGCCTTTGTCTGTTACACAGGCAAAGAACGTAAGCATATAACATCTGAGCCTTCACGGAAGTACGCTGCTGACAACATATAGGCTCTTCGGCCTCTCAAAGTCAATCTTTATAGCGTCATCGACCACATGCGCAACCCGAAGATCGAGATCATCACATACAAGACCATCCATGAGCTTCGCCAAAGCGTCCGCAAGAAGGGCACCTTTCCGAGGCAATGTGCTAAGGCTGGTGAAGGCTGCATGGCTGCTTTGCTGTCTAAATTGTAATTGCAATGATCAACTTAGATCTGCAAGGGTAATCAGACATGCGTGTGGCTTCTTGGATCTGGGTATTTCATGGTACATCAGATTTTGGGAATAAGATGGTGCTCGCGATGCTATGCAGCCTCTGATTGGAGTGACCACCAGACGTCATAAATTCGGCACATGGTTGCCGTTCTTCTTTAGCCAATCGGAATAATTTCGAAACTTCATCGCGTTCTGCAGTGACAAAACATTTCGTGTAGAAGCTTCTGGCGTTCCTATCATGCCAATTGCGTGCCTTCACCGTTCATCGCCCCTAAAGTTTCGCTCATCCTTCACCGCTCACACAAACCATCAGAACACTTCTGATGGGTATCTTGTTCTTCTTTTTGTTCGACCAAGTTGGCTCTCTCTAAGTCACGACACACCACGCAGCCGTCAACGCAAGTAACTACGACAGCAACTCACTATGACTTTGAAAATAATCGCCTCAGATGTCTATCAGTCGCTGTTTCGCCAATGGGCTTAGGACAGCGTCTTCATGCTCGATGTTCAGGACTCTACCAAGCGCCAGTTCGGTCTTCTAGCCAGGATGATGGGTTGGGTTGGCGGAGAAGAACCCTGGAATGATCGCTGGCATGAGTGCTTTGGCGAGGTGTACACCTGGCGCGCTTTCGGTGAGTAAAAAGCCTGGGACTTTACAAAAACTGACATTTCCCAGAATTTCTCTCAGATTTCCCCAAGCCAGCCACCAGTACTATCACCGAGGACGCTGCTGGTACTTCGGTTTCAAATGCTACGCTCACCCTAAGCGACAGTGGCGGCGTCTGTGCGAGTGACATATGGCATCAGTTCAAGGGTTTCGTCCCCGATCCTGCAGCGAGCTTCAAGAACGAGTTCTGAAGATTGTGCAGACACACGCGCTGGAGTCGTGAAGAGCGCCGCAAGGTCAGGATTAAGATTTTCGATGCCGATTGGGAGGCCCACATAGGCAGCGATCTGGGTAATCTAGCTTGTTGGCAAGACTTCTGTCGCCTTTGCAGCATCGATCCAATCCCGGACAGTGTTCCTGGCTGCATGGAGGTATGCGCAACTTCCATGACATGAAAGATAGGAACTCACCTATATGAATAGGCGTTGGAAATCATCTTGGTCAACATATATGATCTGCTCGACTCTCAACGCAACGGCGCGATCGTCACGCCCTTTGAAAGCTTCGAGGAGTTTCGAGACTACACTTACCACGCTCACATGTATCCCATCGAGTACGTGAAGAAGAACACGTTCTTACCAATCTTTCTGAAGAAGCTCTTTCCTCAGCAAAGTGGATAGGTGGAAGCATTACCTCTGCCCTGGTTGTCGCAGCTCGCGTTTGGCTTTACAATCAGCTCGAGTTACGTTTCAGCTCTTATACGAAGGTTGTGGCGGTTGAGCTGTTCGAAAGCTACCTAATTACCTATTTTGCATCCCCGCGGATCGCTAAGCAGATGGCAGAGTCTACTTAGGTAGCCCTCACTTACAAGGCTAAAGAAAATGACGATCATCAGCGAGTACCAATAGTAATGAATTGATTTTACTCACCCTGCTGTACTTATATGCGTGCATGCGGCACGGTGACTTCCACTATCCAGCAGCCAATCAACGTAATTAGTGTCCATTCGATAATGACAGCTCAGAACCACTAGCTGTAGCATGAAACTATATGCAACCATGTCTGTAGGAAATGGTATTAGAATATCCCAGCTCGTTGCCGACGTGGCGCCAGGGATCTCGGGTCTTCCACGTCCTGAATGGTTCGATTGTCTGCTTATCTCGGTTTGCTGCAGCTCCCCGTATGCACCCAAGTATCGATTTAAAGAGTATCAGGCTGTTGTCTACGCTCTAGAAGCTTAGCTACCCCACGAGATTTTCCACCATGTCCCGTCATCATACCGGCCACGCCAGTGAGTATACTGCCGTGACACCCTACGAGACGAACTCTGATCAATATGTTTAGACTCTGCAGCCTCTGCCGCGACCGCGAACGACTCAAATGCCCAGAATGTCGGTCAGATTGCCATATGGTTCCAGAAGTTTGCACCCTTCGTATATGACACAAGCGCCAGCACCAGGAGCAACTTCGATCGTTTGGCCTCACAGCGCAACTGGGGTGATAAACTTCGAAGAAAGCAGTGGACCAGTTTGCAGGCGGCCTCAGCAGCGTCAAACAATGCTGACGCGGTCGCTAATGCGCATACCGATACCCCAAACCAGGGCGGCGCATGGTTCCAGCAGTTCGAAAATTTCGTACACGATCCCACGGTCGGAATCAAGAGCAATTTCGATCGCCTAGCAGCACAGCGCAACTGGGGCCACAGATTGAGGCAAAGACGTTGGGCTGAATGTCAGGAGGAGGAATTCGGCTACGCATATGGAACGGATACGACAAAGCTAGAGATCTGGCAGAAGCTCTGCCGTGAGGTACACATCAGCGATCCACCAGACAGTATAACACAGTGCAGAAAGGGAAGCAGATTTGCAAGCGATACAGAGTCAGCTGCTAACCTTGGGTAGGTGCTTGGCGGCCGGAACGTCCTGGTCAATCTGATCAACCTTATCGACCACCGTAACATCGGCGTAGAAGTGATCCGATTCAAAAACTACCACAAGTTCCATCAGTACACATGGCCGGACGAGGTGTTTCCTTTGAAGAAGGCGAAGAAAGATGGCTTCATCAAAGTGTTGTTAAGGAAGTTGTGATGGAGGTCGACGGAATACACGTGAGCCGTAATTGCACTTGCGAACAGAAGCAATATCAGGGGGTTACGACACCACATGCGTGCGAGGGGAAAGGGGACTAAAAGATAGTCACTTGTTTGTATGAGTCAGCGGCTGCTCGGCGACACGTAAACATTGGGTTTACACTTTCTAGCGTTTTCTTTTCGTCGTGTGCACAACAGTCCCAACGTCGCTCTTGGTTAGTGTGGCGCGATACTCCGGAAACCACCTGGGCACTATTGGCGACATCGCCGCAGTTCCGCGCACTACTGACCCTGTAAGATGGTTCGCGGAAATCGCGCTAGTGAGTAGCGTACATAACAAGCAATAGCGATATGCTCACATTGAACAGAGGGAGGCGTCTCCATTGTGCCTGAAGCTGTAATAACTGTTTCTGCTTCCTCGAGCGAACGTAGTATTCCTCTTCCAAGCGACGATGGTTCCTCTGACGAAGTTCGTGACTGTTTCTCGCAAGAACAGTTCAATGGATTTGTCCCAGACCCCGAGGACGATCTTATAGCGAAACTCAGCAAGCTTTCGATCCACCAAGGTTGGTCCAAGAACGAAGCGAAGTGTCGTCGCGCGGAGGTTGTTGAGTTCGAGGTGTCTCGACACTACGGCCTTGACAAGTCGAAGCTGGAAAATTGGCAGGAGCTGTGTCGTGATGTCAAGATCGAACCTACACCGCCTGCCATACCACAATGTTGAGTTTCAGGCTCAAACACCCTTTGTTCTGCTTGATCTACAACTATTCTTTGTTGTAGAAGTCTATATAGTTAGGTAGAGACTTACGTAGAATAGAATATCTCATCAGTTCAATACACAATGCAAGAAGGTTACGTTGTTTTCTCCACAGTCGCATAGCTCTGCTGACATATCCACGTAGGCTCTTTCACACGTCTACGTCAACATCTTCAACATTCTGGACCATCGAAACAATCCCGAGCGCTACGATGTCATTGTCTTCAAGAACTACAAGCTCTCCGGTGCATACACGCTGAAGAGCCGCATCTTTCCTCTGGACCTGGCCAAGGACGGGTTTGTCAAGGCTCTGCTTCGCCCGCTCTATATGAAGAAGAAGTAATAGCACCATTGGCGCTTCAGGCATCTTGGACGCAATGGGTATTTGAATGCTTGCATGGAGTTCTTGGTGGCCTTGTAATGGTCTCTTTCTTGACCCGTTTTCGTCTGCGTGGCGTGAGTGGGGATGTAAGCAAAGGCGCGGCTATCCGGCTGCGAGGGCGCAGGTGACCTGGACACCATCCTTGATGGGATCACACGTCCACGCATTAGTTAGAGTCGCTGATCCAAACGATGTTGGTGTAATATCTTTGGAGACGCATGTGAAGTCAGGACTAGTAGGCGAGATATTCGGAGGCCATGCCCGTCACAGCCGTAGTGCAGCTTAGCGAGGCCTAAACAAAGCTCACCCCGTGGTATCCCCCGCTCTGCACAACTCACCCGTATCGTCGATCTGCTTGTATATCCCTCAAAGCAAACAACCTTTCACCATGCGCTGCCGGTCGCGCTTACCCCAGGCGGCGAAGGCAATGTGGCCTTGCGCGCCCCTCCATCCCCCGTAGAAGTTGCAACGACCAAGCCAGCGACCCTCGCGACCCAATACTAATCTCAACGCATACGATGCAGCAGGAGAATGAGCGCATGAAGCTCAAAGATGGCCGTACCCTCTCCTACGCTATCTACGGCAGCCCGATGCCACAGAAGACGATAGTCTTCATGCATGGCTGCCAATCCTCGCGCTACGAAGGCAAGCTATGGCACTCGGCCTGCGCCCTACACAACGTCCGAATTATCGCACCCGACCGTCCTGGCAGCGGCCAGTCGACCTTCCAGATCAATCGTCGCATCCTTGATTGGCCTACCGACGTACTCGCCCTGACCGACCATCTCAAGATCCACAACTTCTACGTACTAGGTGTATCGGGAGGCGCGCCTTATGTACTGGCCTGCGTCAAGGAGGTGTCGAGGGACCGTCTGCTGGGGGCCAGTATCGTCAGCGGTCTATACCCTGTCAAGTTCGGCACAGCTGGCATGCTGCTACCTTCGCGCATCGTCCTTTGGGCAGCGCCGTGGGTCAACGGGCTAACCACCACGTTGTTCGAGAGCACCATCGGTAAGCCAAGTCGCGATGACGACCCGAAAGTCCTGGAGGGCATCATTGCCAAGGAGATCCGGAGCCGTCACCCCGCCGACCAAGAAGCTATCCATGATACCACCAACTGGCCCATCTACGTAGCCATGACTAGAGAATCGTTCCACCAGGGAAGCGAAGGCGCAAGCTGGGAAGCCAAATTGAGCGGCAGCGACTGGGGCTTTGAGTTCGGACATCTATACGTTGGAGAGAACGGAGTACCGCTTACCTTGTGGCATGGTCAGGAGGACCAGAATTGTCCCGTCGCCATGGCCCAGAAGGCCAAGGAGATGTTGCCAGGAAGCGTATTGCACTTGAAGAGTGGCGAAGGGCCCATGAGCTACATATTCCGAAATGCTGACAACATTCTGGACGATCTCATGGACGAAATGGAGAGCGAGGAGTACATGATGGTTGGTGCTGCGTAACTGCGTCGGTACATGCTATGCTGGTGTTGGACTCCCGCCCAGATTGCGTCTCGATGCTCTGGGTTCGTTGCTTGGTTTGCTCTTGCCAGGCTCGTCCAACCAGTCTTTGGTGCACATGTTCAATCACAATCAGACCTCATAGTTAACATATCACCACTTCACATTTGGTTCTCGATGACCACCTCAAGTAATTGAGAATGCGTAATAGTCGTACGTTTGAAATTAATTTACTATGCGCCACGCGTGCAGCGCGGTCTAAATGGTATCCAGCGAATGTAGTAAGAATGGTATCATGCAGTAGGAAAAAGATCCAAAACCCATCAATCGTAAGAAATAGCCCGTCCGTCTGCTGACGCCCTATAATTTGCTGAAATTCCTCGTGATCATGACCACAACACCAGCAACAATCTTGAACGCTATCTTCAGTATGAACACCACGGCCTTGAACGCAAACGTCAACACCGTTATGACTGTGCGTGCGACCAGCGGTAGTTTACTTTCGTCATCAGCACTCGCTTTCTTCGCCTTTTTCTCCGATTTTGTGGCTTTCGCTTTCGTGTGCTTGTCTTGGCCATACCACTCTCCCAACTCAATGTCCTTGTCAAAACTTCCATTCGCACTCTCGCTACGAGTTGTAGTTGTACTCTTTAGACTAGAAGCGAACTTCTTCAATCCTTTACCCGAGAGTGGCGGGCGCGACTTCCCGCCGATGCCCTGGAAACCCTCGACAAAGGAGTCTTTGAACGCTCTTGCTGTGTCTTCCTTTTGATTGTTCAGCGTGAAGCTTGGTGGTGGTGGCTCAAAGTTTTCTTGGCTTCGATTGCGTGTTTTGCGGCCGCGCGTAGCTTCCGCTACTGCGACCGCCAGAAGCGTAGACGTAAGAACATCGGTCAAGAAGGGATTGCCGAAACGTGTCAAGGCACCTAGGTTGAGAATGAGAGCGTCATTTGCGAAGTCAAGACGTGCGAGCATGGCATCGTCAGCAGTAGCGTCGGTGGTCGTAGGAAGTTGGCCAACAGACATCTCAGAAGGTGTCATAGAGACTGGCCGCGTGCCATCGATTCGCGGGGGTGGTGGAAGCGGAGAGAACGCATTTGTCCGGGGGGTCGTCGGAGAGAGAACGTATGGGTTCAGCACAGTGATACAGGCTGGCTTCCGTCCAGTACTTTGTGGTGTCATGGGCATATTATGCCCGTAGAACGCCGTGATGGGTCTTGTCGAAGGTGCGTTGATGACGGAACAGTCACCTTCTAGGGAGATAGGGAAGGTGCCCAATGTTGGATGATGAAGCTGATATGAACCCTCCGACGGCATATGTTGCGCCCAAGGATTTGCTTGTTGTTGAGGGTTGTCCCTCGTCCAGGCGAGAGCGCAGCACTCACGCTGTGCAGTACCGGCTAGAACATCTTCAGCCAGACGCTGCGCAGCGGGTGACTGAGCGCCAGGATCAGAAAGCGCAATACGCGAGGCGGCAGGAGAGTTAGCAGCTGCATCAAGCGCCTGAAGAGCAGCCAGCTTTGGGTATATACTAGTAAGGAGTGTGGTATCCTCTTGCTGTTGTGGGCTGAATGCTCCATTGTCTAGTGACGGAGGCGCAATAAGATCGAGATGAGCAATTGGTAAGACTCGCGGCTGGGTGGGGTGATGTCGTTGAATGAGCAGCTCATTCATGATGCTGGGTACTTCGTGGTTGCCTGCAAGATTTGACTGTGCTACAGAGTAGAACGGTAAGGATGGCGTTGTACCAAATGTTATCGTCGGGTTTGATGCTGTTGCTCGATGCATTCGCAGGGTATAAATTTGCACACTGGGTTGTTCTTGTCCATTAGTGGCTAGCCAGAGATTGTCTAGAAGGTTGGATGGCGTAAAGAAGGGCTTTGGTGGTGGAGGAGCTGTCGAGCCGCTCGAGCGAACATTGTTGTGAGGGACATACGACTCGGAAGAGTAGGGTGAACGACTGATTTGGGTTCGGGGTATTTGTGTGGGCGACGCTTGGGTTGGCTGATATGGCTGACGTCCAAGAGGGACTGTGGGATCATAGACTGGGAACATTGACCGCATCGGAATCTCTTCTTGCGGTGATATGCATCTTGTAGCAGAGCTGTTTGCTCGTACCAGAGTCTGAGCCTCGGAGAAAGCTGGTGAAATCGCGCGAGCAGGATCTGGACTAGCGGTGCGTTGCTGGTCGTCGATTTGATCATGGCCATGACGTTCTTGTACACGGTAAAAGCTTTCTTGTCGTTCAAGTTGTGGAGAGGCAGTTTGCTGAGGGGGTGGTTCAAAGTATGGCCGACTCGTTGCATTTGCCATTGGTGTTTTTGTAACCTGTGGACTAGGGATATGTGCTCTCGGCGGAGCCGCGATGGCCGGCGGGGGCGCCATTGGATTGGAGGGTGATACTGGCACAGAGTTGACTTGAATGAGGAGTCCGTGGAGATCAACTGGTGTTTTGGCGCTTACGGCGCTCTCTGTTGCTAATGGTTCTTGACTGGTTGGCTTTGGGTGAAGAGATGGTCGCAGGTTGGGACTCGTCTGTCTTGGAGCACGAGGAGGAGGAAATAGTTGGAGTGCTGGTCCAGCCATAATGAGTGCTTGCTATCCTACTCTTTTGATCAATGGCACCCCGAAATAACTGGCGGGACCAAACAACAGATACCGGCTGTGTAGAGAAGGGAACAAAGACTGAGAACAGCAACACCGGGAGTACGACGTCTCGGGTAATCTGGGGATAAGGACTATAAGACGAGCATTCTGCAAGGCACTCCGAGCCATCGGAAGAGCCGTGGCATGCAGCCAGGGCAATAGCGGTACAAAGACGACTTCCCATGCAGGAAAACCCTCTTCTCAGCCAGGTGGTGGTCAGATGGGCCCAATCAAGACGTGTGTAAGGCTCGGCGCTACTCAGGGTTGGTGAGCGGCGGTTATATTTTGGGTGGTTGGCTGCTGCTTGCTGTAAGCGCCAACGCTGTTCACTCGCTACAATCCCCGCCGCACTAGCTTGAGATGTGAGAATGCGTGCATCTGGCGATGATTGGTAGATTGTATGTGCCTGCCCTGCGTCGGGGTAGCATATGCATGTGACAAGTGGCCAGTCCGGCGGCCCGCTGCGAGTCGTCGATCTATTTCGAGCGCTCAAAACCTTTGCCAACATGCCACTTTCGGTGTCCATCATGAATGCTGTGAGAGGGATGTCTGTTGCCGTGCCGGCCCTGTGACAGCACGAAAACCAGGGCGTGGTTCTCCATCATTATTGAAGCCGAAATTGAACTCGTGAACATGATTTCATAGTTCCACGGGCTCTGGCCATGCAGCGCTGGCGGATGAAGGTCTGTTCTGGCGTAGCAGCGTTTGGTGGGGCTGCGGCTTGAAGCCACCAAGCTTCGGCGGTAAGAAGGGCTCGCACGCTGCAGTCAAAGTGTACGCAGCCGCCCTAACACCAAGACAACTCTGGCTCAGGCATCGCACTGGCAGCTTATCGTACAATCGACCAGGACGCCAATAGTGCAATATGGCCTGATTACAAGACTTGGTCGCTGGGTATTGTGCTGAGTTACCCGGACTAAGGCCGAGCTTCCAACGGAGCTGTTGCTGGGCAGCTGTGGTGGTAAGCACCCAAGGGCTTGGAGGACGAAAGATGATAATGGGTCAGGTCATTTCCGTTAAGAATAGGCAGGGCAATATGCATTAGATGAGGCAATCAGCGGGTATCACCTCGCTGCAGTGGCAGCTGGCATGCATCTCGCGCCAACGTGCAGCGAAAATGCGGGATGGACGCTAGGCTTATCGATAAGCGAGATGTGCAGTCGAGAAAAAGTTGGGCCTTCGTCATCGCGCACGACAGTCACGAGAAGCCAGCCATAGCTACGATGCCGTCAGAATTAGAAGAGGTAAGAAGCCAAGTAACCAAAACTTCGGTGTTCATCGTCAGCTCATACTTCGATCCCAGCTTGTGGAGTTCCTGCATCACGGCAACACGCAGATCAGACAGACTGGTCAAACGAACCCCTCCACCCCACCACGAGACACAGCTCACACTATGCAGCGGCCGAACACCTCCTCGGATACTCACAGGCGAACCCTTCCCTATGGAAGCGCAACCAATTAGAGCCCATTAAGGACCTGAAGCTACTCGTCAAAGACTATGCGCCCATAGCGAAGAACGCCCTGACCATCCTCATCAATGTCTCCGCCGACGCCGAGGTCCAGAAGGCGCTGGCCAAGGACGATGACTTCCTCGAGACGCTCCTTTCACGGATAACCGTATGTCAGTTCCCCCTCTATACAGCCAAGGACAGTCAAGGGCTGACTTGCTGCAGAACTCAAAAGAGCCCAACGCCAACGAGATCGCAATGCTCCTCGCCAACATGGCAAAGGACGACTCGCTACAGCGCGTCTTGCAGTTGAAGCGCGACATACCGAAAGAACTGTCCAAGTCAACGTGGGCTATGGATCAGCTCATGGACTGCTTTGTTAAGGGCGCAGAGGGCGCGTATAACAAGAACGCAGATTTCGACTACCTTTCGTACTTCTTCGCCGATCTAGCCAAATTTCCCAAAGGCCGCGAATACCTCACCACACCGCAAGAGCACGACGACAACGTTATCCCTATTACCAAGATTCAGGTCTTCACAGACCACGCCTCGCATATCCGACGTCTTGGCGTAGCGTCGACGATTAAGAACGTCGCCTTCCACGTCCCTGCGCATCCGGTGCTACTATCGAACCTATCGCCCGACCCGAATCTCCCACCTCCATCTATCGGTGCAAATCTACTCCCATACATCCTTCTGCCCCTCATGGGCCCAGAAGAGTACGCAGATGACGACACAGAGGGCATGCTGGATGAGCTACAACTCCTTGAGCCGGACAAGGAGCGCGAGAAGGATCATGAAATCATCAAGACTCATCTCGAGACACTGCTTCTGCTGAGTACAACGCAAGAAAGCAGAGAGGTGCTGAGGCGCGTCAAAGTATACCCAATCGTCAGAGAGTGCCACATGCATGTTGACGACGAGTCAGTCCAAGAAGCATGCGACCGTGTGGTCCAGGTCATCATGCGCAAAGAGGAAGGCGAAGAGGAGGATATACCAGACATGGCTAGTGCAGGTGGTAGCGGGAAGCTGATGGAATTGGAAAACGCTGATGACGATGAAGACGAGAAGATCGTTGACATTGTCTAGACGGGAGATGCATGTGCGACGCAATACCAACAATGTTCTCAAGTCTCGAGACGATAATCATGTCTTGCATCCAAGTAGCGTACTAGATCTGATTGGCGGTGATACCGGGGATAGCAGCCTCGCTCAAAACCGTTCTCGGCTCCTCATTTATGGATCTCTGCCGAACTTGGTCGAAATAGGAAGGATCCCGTCATCGACTCTCAGTATCTCGATTCTTCTGCGTCTTATCTGCTTTACTTCTACATCCTAATTTCTGTACCACGCTTCGCGCCGCTACTGTTCGTATCGTCATTCTTTGTTGGATAGCTTATTGGAAGTGTATCATGTGTGTGACGTGAGTCGGATTATGTCAACGGTCGACTTTAAGGATGGTGGGGGCCAAGGGATGGTACCAGCTACCGACGAAAGCGCAGTGCAGACGGCAGCATCGTCACCAACGGATCGTCCACCAAGAGAAGGAACAGAGCAGGATGCAGGCATAATAGGGAAGGAAAAAGAGGAACAGTCAATATGGAGAAGAATCTACACAATCTTAACATGGACGCCGCCGAACTGTCGCTGGGATCCGGACAAACCGCCGCAATTCTCTATGAGCAGTACGTCCTTTTGCGAGATGCATGTCATAGCTCGATTTGAACAAAGTCTATGTTACAATATAGCTCTCCTGTTCTCTCCTCGAGAAAATACCATGCAGAATTCCAGCTAATCATCATCCTCTCAGTGAACGTCCTTTTCGCCTTTGCCGCAGGCTTTACGGTCGCAAACCTTTACTACAACCACCCCATCCTCAACCTACTAGCTGCAGAATTCAACGTACGCTATGAGCAAGTCGCGCAGATCCCTACAGTTATGCAAGCTGGTTACGCCGCGGGACTCTTGTTCTTGTGTCCGTTGGGAGACTTGTTGCCTCGACGGCCTTTCGTATGTGGTCTAGTAGGGTTCACTGCGACATTGTGGTATGTTACCTTGAGATCTGAGGCATGCTGAGAGAAGACTACTGACGATGGAACAGGCTAGGATTATGTCTCACATCTGACCTTGGCACCTTCACAGCCATATCGTTCATCGTAGCGGTAACAACAGTGACGCCACAACTCATGCTCCCGCTCGTGGGCGACCTAGCTCCTCCATCACGTCGTGCAGCAGCCCTGTCCATCGTCGTCTCCGGCCTCATGCTCGGCGTCCTCGTTGCCCGCGTCCTTTCCGGAACGATTTCAAACTTTGTTACCTGGCGCGCAGTATATTGGATGGCGTTTGCCCTACAGTACATCATTTTCGTCCTCCTCTGGCTCTTCATGCCAGATTACCCAGCGACCAACCCCGGCATGAACTACTTCCGAATCCTACTCGACATTGTCAAAATGCTGTTTCGCCACCCCGTTCTTGTTCAAGCGTGTCTAGCTGGTCTCTTCTGCTCAGCGCCTTTTACATCGTTTTGGACAACGCTGACGTTCCTCCTCGCCAACGATCCATACAACTACTCATCCCTGACAATCGGTCTCTTCGGTCTGATAGGCATAGCAGGCATGCTCGCCTCGCCCATCTACGCGCGTACAGTCACCGACCGCTTCGTCCCGCATTTCTCTGTACTTTTTGGCCTCACATGCTCGCTCCTCGGTGTCTGTCTCGGCACCTACACTGGAACCTTTACGGTCGCAGGTCCCGTCCTACAAGCCCTCTTGATGGATTTCGGCAACCAGACTGCGCAGATTGCTAATCGTTCTAGCATCTACTCAGTTGAGCCCAAGAGACGTAACGGAGTGAATACTGCCTTCATGGTTGCTACGTTCTGTGGTCAGCTTATCGGTACGGCGGCTGGGAACCATATTTATGCTGCTGCGGGTTGGATTGGAAGTGGAAGTGCTAGCGTGGGTTTCATCTCTGCGGCAATTCTTGTTATCATTGCTAGGGGTCCATGGGAAGAGAGATGGTTTGGGTGGAGGGGTGGCTGGAGCATGATCAAGAAGGATAAGGACAGTGCTGATGGTAAGACGGCAGATAAAGAGATGCATGGGAGAAATGTGGCCAGGGATGAAGAAATGGGCGTTGACGCTAACGAGAAGGTATTGGAGGAGGTTGCTGCTGAAGAGGGGCACGAGAGTCCGTTGAGAGACGGCGATGGCAGTGAGAAGTGTGCTGGAGAAGGTGGGGTTAGAGAGCCATAAGCATGAGGAGTGTTGGTAGAGGATTTGAGTATATGCAGAATGATAGTATAGCCTCAACGGCGTGTCACAAAACGCTAGATGGATAGAGTAATCTATGTTCTGCTATTCATGTATTATGTACTGATAGACCCGAGCAAGTAGTGCCCGTGCATCTCCCCATTACCAGCCATTGCCCTCGTCCCCCTACGCTAATGCAATTTACCAAGGGACCGGCTGGATATCACATTCGCTCATGTGCTGACCAGAAGCGGTCTTAGACTACGCCGATTTCGGTGCGTTTGACGCACTCATGAATGCGTTGATATGCTCATCGGAAGGCATCTTCTCCAGAGGAGTAAGCCAGCTCTTGGCCTTGTCGAAGCTAGACACCGCCTTGACGAGCTTGATAAAGACCTGCGTGTTGGTCTTGTCAACACGACCCTTGAACTTGACAATGAGGTTCTGAATGTTCATGCCTTGGGGTGGCAACGATTCATAAATCTCCTTGGCAGATGGTAGGGAAGGCCGTGATGGGGCTGCAGAGGGACTACCTG